TGGAGGCATGGATCGCCTGAAAACGAAGTTTCTTGACCTGAATTTGAACGAGCGTCTTGTTCAGCGTATTGTTGAGTGCTGAAGGGTCTCCCTCAAACTATGATGGAGACGCCGACCTTAGCTGCAAGTGCAACGAAGCGGGGGGTCACAAACTAAATCTTGGCCCGTCGACGATGCTCTGACTCAATTTCTAGCTGATTTATTTGCCCCTCGAGTGGACAAATTAGTTTTCGAAAAATTGCTCTGGGAAGCGACAATTTTAATGACGCGGAGGAAGTAAGTTCGCATTTTTTTCTAAACGAAACGCATTTCGAAGCGGGGGTAGGGGGTAACGCCCTTTTCGAATAGAAAAATGACAGTTCGCACATTTCCTGGATGTGTACATACTGTGCATGCAGTGCATGTGCTAGATCGCTTCAGCAAAATGAGCGTGTTTAGGTGTAGAGCAATGTGCCTGTGTTTGAAGATCAGCCTTGCCCTGCATGCATACTGGGAACTCAGAGCTGTCAAGTGTCACATCAGCATCATCAAACTGTGTACCTGGCCAGCTTTTACAGAACACAGTCAGTGGTTGTGGAGGAACTCTGTTTATGTGCGTGTACATGTCATTTCTTGTACTCAGTACTTATGTAACGTGCGTCGGCGAGGCTAGGAGGCTACTACCCACAGTCAGTCGACTAACATATCAGAACTTACTCCGGCACGGCCTGGAGGTTATCTTATATCAAAGTGAAAGTGAACTTGCTCTCTCTCTGATCTCTATCGGATCTCTCCGATCTCCTCAGCTCATGGCAGAGAAAACACAGCAGCTTTTATAGGCAAGCAAAGTATGTATAGCAAAGCAGGCGGCGGTAGGAAAGTAAGGTTAGTAAGCCATTGCAGTGATTACGAAATCATCCTTCTAGTACAAGTTCTAGAATAGTGGAGAAGGCAAACCTAGATCATCATTGCTATACACGTAGATGAAGTGAGCATTGCGTAACATTAACATAATGACTAAGCGAGGTATTCTAGAAGGTGAGATATCTATATTATGCAATTTAGTCAGCAACATTACTCATAGGGCATATGACGTGGAAGGTCTGGAATAGTCCGGAACAACATGACATACATGTACATGAGTCATGACTGTACCAACTAGTAACTAAAAGGAAGTGATACTAGAAGTGATGACAGCAGCATGCATGGAAGATCTATGATCTTCTAGAAGCGCGGTACTCCTGATGTAATCAAGTTATGTGTGAGCTATGAGGTACATGATGTAGGACTTGTCCGAAAGTAGTAACAAGAGTAATTATAAGAGTCATGCAAAATACATGTACTAGTCATGTGTAAACTGTAAAGCAGGGATACTACACTTAGAATTAGATGCAGAAAGTCTTAGCGCGCATTTTCAGTGTAGATCTAATACATGTACATGTACTGTGCATGTCCATGCCATGCATGTCCATGCACATGTATGCCATGGTATGTACATGAATGCCATTCACTTTGACATACCATGGCATTCATGTACATACCATGGCATACATGTGCATGGACATGCATGGCATGGACATGCACAGTACATGTACATGTATTAGATCTACACTGAAAATGCGCGATAAGACTTTCAAATAGAGGGGGGAGGTAGAGGGGTAAAGTCTATTCGAAATGCGTTACGTTTACAAAAAAAGTGCGAACTTATGAGATGCTCCCTAAAGTGTTTCACATTTTGACTCACCATTATCCTGCTTATAATCGTTAGGTAATCACGCTGCAGTGTTTGGCATGCTGGTGTCTGCAACAGTGCCTGGTATTCGAGCTTGAGAAGGCGCTTTTTTTGGCATAGTAACAATATAATTATGTCGTAAATGGTTCCAGGCCTGGTCCTTGAAAAATTCCACTCTTACAGCTTTAGGAAACTTCACTTCTCAACTCCAAACTCCAAAAACGGTCCCTTCACTGCTTTTCAAAGTCAAATTTACAATACACCAATTTTCGGGGCTGGCCCGTCATCAGGGCAATGAACACCTTGTTTCAATTATGTGCTAGAACTTTCCTTCATTACTGTGTGGTTCGTCACGCGAAATTACGCATCTATGAGCAACATTCACAGGGTGCTGGGAGAGTATGCGCGTACTCGAGTCTCATCCTGAGCACGTTTTTTCTTCTTTTTTTCAGTTCCAGTATAGCTGTATAATAATAATAATTGCAAAGCCGTCCTCGATTGTTGTGTTCGTTGTTCAATCGAAGTGGACATTCAATCAAGAAGGCACAGGACGTAAGTGCCTCATTGGAGTTTCTCTTGGTATAGGACAGCCACATAGAGACACTTTGCGATTTTCTGAATATAAAATACCGTACGCACGATGCAGAGTTCAATTTGTGCGATATCAAAATAGTTTGTGATCAACCACATCTAGCAGAATGGGATTCAAAGACAAGCTCTCCAACGGTTAGGCTGCCGACATGACTGGACAAATGATCTCTGGCTTCACCAAACGCCAGAAGTCGGAAGCCATGTCCTTGCCGCGACATCCATCTCCAAAAAGAATTCCATCTTCGTCTATAAAGACTTGAAATACTCAATATTGAACCGAGCTTCGCCGTCTCATGCTTTCTCACATCGAATCATTTGTTGCTGTATCAGTTGCAAGGCAAATCCCCACCACTACTTCAACAGGGTTTCGCTTCAAAGCATGCCTGAAACAAGCCATATCGAGGTGAAATTCGAAATTTCAATGGTGGAAGGTATGCAACGAAATAGTGGTTGCAACCTCTCGCGATGATTTGGTAGGAATGGGTTGGCTCCCCACACAGGAGCTCGTGCTTTCCGCCGACTTGACTTGACACACGAGAAGTCCATCGAACCTTCGACTCGGCAAACCTGCAAGAAAGCACCACTCCCTTCTCAATACATAATGTTTCGGGGAATTCACTGGACAGAGAATTCCCCAAAACACTGTGTAATGAGCAGGGAGTGGTGCTTTCTTGCAGGTTTGCCGAGTGGACGGTTCGATGGACTTCTAGTGTGCTCTGGATGGCAGTCGTCAGTCAGGAAAGTGTCAAGTCAAGTTGGCGGAATAGCGCTAGCTCCAGTGTGGGAAGGCATACTACGAAGAGAATTTCAAAATGTATGGTTGGCCGCGCCATCGTTCAACCTACATCATTCAAGCGCTGCAGGATAGTTCTGACCTACATGCTAGGCATGGAACCAGAGGGTTTGATGTCATAGCTGGCACACAAAGCTACACACACAGCACATTCGTGTGCACAGATACAAAATTAGTGGACGTCGTCATCTTCTTTCCGCTAGTCTAAAATATATTATGACATGCTATTTCGCCTCAATTGGCAACATTTGTGGCATATTTTCTATACATGGTGGTGATTTTTCCTGATGACAGCAACGAGGGAACATTTGAAGCGACAGAGCTTTAAAGCTCAGGGCCCTACACTATGCTTGTTTGCATAGGTCTTCATGAATGTTATTCGATCTAATCTGATGAAAACATTTTTGCATTACAATGATGCACATGCAGCCAATCAGTTTTAATACGACGACTCTCAAGGCAGCAGGACCTCTCTTCGCCCACTTTTTACTCTCTGTGCAGGCACTCCTGCCGATGGCGTTTACTCAGAGCTTCAACACTGTCACTCTAGCTGTTATTTTGCTCTTCCTTATAGTCCTCTGTTCAACATCTCATCATTCTATTTATACAACAAGAGCGCCTATTAAAACACTGCAATCTACTCGATCCTGACATTCCCGGCCCATTAGCAGCACATCCAAAAACATTCGAACGATCATGCGACGGCCCTATGCCTACAGACCGCAGTCACCGCACACCGAACAAGTTGGGGCATGATCACGTCTTCTCTCCTGTCGACTAGAGTTCAGTGGTCTCTTGCTACCGATGCATCGTTTCACGAAGTCGGCGAGTCTCCAAACGATGGGATACTAGCTCCATTGTGTATTTTTGTCGGCTTAGCCTTTCGCAGGCACGGCAACTCTCGAGGCGGCATCTTCTATTCTCTGTGTAGGCACTTCTGCTGGCGCCTTCTGCTCTGAGACATGCCCGGCCCATTAGCAGCACATCCAAAAAGCGATAATGCAATAATACGACACAGGCTCCAAACTTGATGACCTAGGCAAAAAAAGCATAGCGATGTTATAATTTTTCAGTTCTTCAACTTTTTTAAGAGATAACATGGGATTCGAACGCGCACTATCACCCTACATTCATTCGCCCTATACACTTTGCATCCATACGTATTCTTCCAATTGGGTTCAAATTATGATCTTGCACTTGAAAGCCCTATTCGAATAACGTGGCCAGCTCTCTTTGATGGCACGGTACGGAACATGTTCATGGATAGTGCCCGGCATACCGACGTCGGGACATCGTAAGGTACAAACAAATAAACGGAGCAATTCGCATTACGTTACATAATGCATACGGGATGCGTCCTTGATGGCACAGAACGGGACATGTACGGTATAGCACCAGCCATGGCACAAACAGACAAACAAACAAACAAAATTAAAGATGTGTGGACCCTGGCTAGCGCAAGACGTTGCTGAAGTAAAGTCTTTAGCATAGCTACGGGTATTAAAGCTGAGTGGTACGGGTATTAAAGCTGAGTGGCCAGGTACAAATATACAAGCGGAATTAAAGCTGTGTGGACCCTGGCTAGGGGCAGACGTTACTCAAGAGACATCTTTTGCATGGCTATGGGAATATTGTGGGTTCAGGTCTGTGAACGTCTGCATTCATATTTTTCTTATCCTTGTTGTAGTTTCTCTCTTCTCGTCATCTTATCCCTATTGAAAATATGAGTAATGCCATTCCACCTACCGTTTTAGTACGATACTTATATGATATACGGAAAACCCCACAAAATTGATTTGACTACAGCACCATTCCCAGCATAAACTCTCCACACAACAGTTGAAAATCAGCAGTCCGAGTACGCATATCAGACGGAGCAGGTTAGCACCTTTGCAACACACTTACTTGAGTAACAAAGGATAAGATTGTGTGGATCTGTCCAATCTTTAATTTCATGTTTATAGTAATCGCCTGGTATATACTCGGGGGGGTTATGACGATTTTGAGACACGTGATTAGCGTAGAAATTGCGGTAATTGTTTGACCACCAGATTTTTTGACCCCATATTCCGAGTTTGTTAGTCCATTTATAAGTCCAACTATCACCACCAAAAACTTGGTGATAGATGCTATAGATATGTCGTTGAAACGGTATGACACAGTCTCTGTTGGACTCAGGCGTGACAGGCGGGAAACCCATTCCAAGGTCTCGGCAAGTCCTTGCAACCTTTAACCAACCAGATCTCTCCGAGAACGCATCCCTTATATAATGCAGGCTGCCCCTTGCGCAAACTTGATGGCCTGTAAACAGAGAATGAGAGAGAGAGAAATTTTGATGCACCATTATTGTATTTAAATAACCGACGAGGAGACAGCAGTCATAAAAGAGCAACGAATACAACTAATTGTGCACTCATATCCGTGTATAGGATAATTGTGTTTTGCTCCCTACGTGGGAGCTCTCTCTTTGCCTACCGACGTGAATTCTTACTTGACTGACTCACGGCTGCCATCAAGAGTACATGAGAAGTCCATCGAACTGTCTACTTGGTTAACCTGAAAACACCACTCCCTGCTCCATACACAGTGTTTCGGGTAATTCACCCTTTATCAGTTGAGCTTGAGTAGGCTGAGGAAGATTGTACCTGAAGAGCACCACTTATATAGTGCTCTTCAGGCAAAAAAAACTCACCAGGGATACAAACTTTCAGAGATGCTTCGTTTCCGGCGCGACTAACACCTGGTGAACACCAGATGTCGCCGTGAGTGAGTGTGGATCGTGGAGATGCTGACCAAACGCTGAGCACTGTTGGCCATTCACAACGCTGTTGCCTCCTGTGGGAGAACTGGAGCTATCTAGTCTCTCTATCACCCCTCTCCACCCAACACAACACACCAGCGCAAACGGCAGTCTCTTGGTGGAAATGTATGAATCACGAAAAATGCAAGTAGGAAAAGGAGATAGAACAAGAAAAGAACAACAAGAACACAAAATCACCAGCACTTTGGCCAGGAAAAGACACGTCTAAAACATGGCGTCCATCATGGCGGCAGAGCAACCGATAGAGGCCAGTCATGCCTGAAGCTGCTAATCCAGCGACAGCCATCACGGCCACCATCGAATGCAGAAAATAGATCTGAAAACGAAGTCGAGCAACCGCAACTCGAACGAAGCAAAGAAAACAACAAGACCAGCTACGCGACTACGCGCAGCAAGCAAAGGCTTAAGCGATGACATTATTAGTCACGCGTGAACACAGAATCTAGCATGCGCATGCAGCCTTGCAGGCGCTGGCGAAATAAATAATGAAGTCAAGACACAAATAAATTACACAACGAGCGATCGTTGCAGGAAAACCGTTACAATTCAAATATACTACTTCAAGGAAAGATGAGAAGTGAAACGACTAGCACTAGAAGAAATAGAATAGAATATAGAACAAGGACAACGGAAGCGGACTACGGATGAAGCTACAATGAGGTAAGAGGCATGACACACTGATGACAGATGTCACCACAACAAATACATAATCGTAATGTTTGTCTACACACACATTGTATCGTCACACTACACACATTGTCATATTGTCACACTCCAAACAATATAATTCACAAGCCTGCACTTGGGACAACAATGTGAAGAAGAGGTTCAACCCCTTCTCCATAGTGTGAAGTTATGCAATGAATTCTGGTTCATTTACTTTTCGCTGAAATGACGCTGTGCGTAACGGCGAGTTGCTAAATAGTACCTTTTTCATTTGATTCTACTCAGACTTCTTAACCCTTTGAGGCCCATAGTACGGATATATCCATACCAGCGTACAGTGAATACTTTTCAAAGCGCAACCTGGCGTAAGTCGGCTGTCCCTTCACTAAATCGGACAATCGAAAGGTCTATCGACATTAGAATAGGCTCAGCTATCGGCTCGGGAAAAAAACCCCGAAGGCGATCCAAGGTCGGAGAGCGGAGTTATGAGACTCGAACTAATTTCGCTCAGCAGAGTTGACTCTGGCGCTTGCATTTTGAACTCGTTTTTTGGGGTTTTCCCAGACTCGCGGGGCACACAGCCACAGGTAGTTCATGTCATCGCAAAGGCATGTTTCTCAGCTCTCATGTAAAAAATCTGAGCGATTTGCGATACATTTCGTTCAAATGGCACAGAATTTGAGTTGGGCGCTCGCAATGCTGGCTTTGGAGCGCCGAATCACGCTGCGGTGCAGGTTCTGTGGATTTAATGATGGATTACTGGATATCGCTGTATTCCTCTGGCCAAGAGCTTTCCAGAAAGCCCAAAATCACCAAAATCGGCCACATTACGACTAGGTTAGTACCTGGGCTCGCGTATGCAATGCATTCCTTGAAATAATTGTGGGCCCCAAAGGGTTAATTAACCTCTTCACAATAATCTTTTTTATCTTATTATTTTCCTGCTTTTAAAAATTGCAGCAGATTCATGGCCAGCAATCGAGGACATCTGAGAGTTGTAATTTTTGTACTCCTCCAAGGTGTGATTTTTGGCGTGCTGGGCCAAGCAAAAGGAAGCCATCTGCAAAAAAACTGCAGAAAATGGTTGTTTTTGATCCTTTGGTGTAATCTTTGTTTCTAATCGAAGCTAGTTGCTGTTTGGAGCAGAAACGCTGAAATTGACTATTTTCTGCGTGTACTCATACATGTACTCATGTACTCAGGCATGCAGTCTCACTCGTATTTTAGCTCTTTTTCTGGAATGGATGCTGCTCTGCGCCCCTTGGTGAACCTTTCCTGCACTCGTGGAGCAGCTGAAAAGGACCACTGGTATGTCTGGTTCCTGGTTTGAAAGTGGAGAGTCGACTTTTGTGCCTTGAAAAAGGAGTAGAGAGCGATAAAGGTACGTCTGTTGCATATTTTTGAGTGCTCCTCGTACATTTTTGATCGTGATAGAAATTTTCAGACCAAAGTCAGACCAAAGTCAGCGCGATGATGGCAGTACAGTTTTCTTGTGGATTTTTTAGTTGTTTCATCTCGTATCTATGTCAGTATTGTGATGGCGAAGTGGAGAGGGTAATTTTCTTCTTCTAGGCTTTGTTCGGCCGACTTTGCTTCGTCCTCGTTGAAAAGTGATCCTGAAAAAAAGGTCGATTCGCAAAATTATGGTGATTTTCAATGTACGTAGTGACATGCGATTGCTGGCTATGTGTACACGTATTGTACCATAAAGTCCGGAGCAAACGCCCACTTCTCTGCAAACGCCCACCCCAGCTCGATTGTACTATTTTCGCAATGCAGGGCACAAGTACGAGTTAATCCCATTCAGCGCTACTGGGCCTTGCCTATGGTGGTACTCTGCATATAAAATGCTAAAAACAAGGCAAATAGAAAGTTCTAAAACTCCAGGGTTCTGGCAACTGGGTCCTCAAGTATTTTGGAAATGATTGCCAAGACTATCAACCACAGGGTGACAGAATCGATACAGTCCCCGAAAAGAATAGCGCTTCACAATAGGGGACGCAAGTTTGCTCAAATTGCGTGAAATACGCTAAATGTGTGCAATTGCAGCTGAAAGATCGCTGAAAAGAGAAGAAAAAAGACGCATAGTGTTACCAAGCGGGATTCGTACCGACGACCTATCATACAAGAGGCAGGATCATGATCCAACTGACTAACAGTGCTTTTACACACCTGATAGTGACGGAAATCACTATATCCCATGACGTCTATAGACGTCATCCCGCGCATGGGGGGGGGGGGGGGCATTTTCAATGACGACTATAGACGTCATCAGCGTTCAATGGGTTAACTCGTATCCATATGTCCTTTTCCTTTCTACAATAATAATAATAATAATAATATTTTTTTCCCGTTTGTCTCTTTCCCTCAAACCAGTTAATAATAATAATAATAATCGACGCGGAGACAACAATTTTATAATAGCTATAAAGAGAACAAATTCTGCTGTCATCGCCACACTCCAACAAAGTCATGAAGGTTTACCAAAATCGATTTTCTTGTCACAATCATCAGTGGAAAGCCGTGACTGAAGAATAACCATGCCAAATCAATAATTTATATACATTCAATAATGTGTTACGAGAAGAAAACAAAGTGCTAAAAATAGAATGAGGGAAGGTGAGACAATAGAAGTAAAGTGAGAGCTAAGTGCAACAGGGGTGAGGAACTAATTGCAACGCTAGAACTGTGTAGTGAGACAAACAATCATGCAAAGAACAGAAAAACTAAAATCATCATACACCTGCAGACACTTAGGGTGAGACAACAGATGAAGAAAAACGGCAGACTTCTTACGATCAGAATTACCACAAACCGCAACCTCGTCCCCCGTCTCATCTTCCAACTCGTCCTCAGTGTCATCCTCCGTGTCATTCTGTCATCACCACCGATCGGTTTTCTGTTCTTTGTCGTGCACGGTACGCTAGTCAGTTGAAAGTACTTGAGGCTGTTTGTATTCGTTTGCATAAGCCTGATCTTTGTAAGCAGAAGAAACATGTAGTTGCGTTAAGATTGTTTTCGTAGGTGCACAGCATGATTGTTTGTCTCACTCACCCCTGTTGCACTTAGCTCTCACTTTACTTCTATTGTCTCACCTTCCCTCTTTCTATTTTTAGCACTTTGTTTTGTTCTCGTAACACATTATTGAATGTATATAAATTATTGATTTGGCATGGTTATTCTTCAGCCACGGCTTTCCACTGAAGATTGTGACAAGAAAATCGATTTTGGTAAGCCTTCATGACTTTGTTGTAGTGTGGCGATGACAGCAGAATTTGTTCTCTTTATAGCTATTATAAAATAATAATAATAGTAATAATAATCTACGTGGAGATAATAATTGTAATATAGCTATGAATAGGATGAAGGCCGCAGACATCACGCAACTACGTTACTTGTTTGACATGTATTTACTGTGTATTTTATAACGAAAATATTATTGAAAACCCATAATCGATTTTCTTGTTCCTATCATCAGTGGGAAAAATACGGAACTAAGGATACAACCAAAGAAACTGAAGTTAAGTACTGTAAATAGATTACGTAATCTTGTTACCTTTTTGCGTTTCCTCTAGTGGTTTTATTGCACTTGTATCTTGTTATTTCTAACACCTTTCTATTTACAGTACTTAACTTCAGTTTCTTTGGTTGTATCCTTAGTTCCGTATTTGTCAAACAAGTAACGTAGTCGAGTGATGTCTGCGGCCTTCATCCTATTCATAGCTATTATAAGCTATAATAAAATAATAATAGTAATAATAAATCTCCACGCTACTTGTAATCATATTAAGCTACATGTGACTAAGCCTCACCA